CGTCAACTGGCTTGGAGCGTATCGTGGGTGGAGTAAACTCTGCAGAGGGGGAGTGGCCTTGGCAGGTCAGCCTCTATTTTGATGGTCACCTGTACTGCGGTGCTTCTGTCCTCTCCACTGATTGGCTCGTCTCAGCTGCTCACTGCTTCAACAAGCAAAGGTCAGCCAAGCTCGCTGGTGTTCTTATGAACTATAAGTATTCTTTTAATTTAGTGATAACATTGCATCAATTATTCTGAGCAGCTGGTTTACTTGCAAGCCCACTGTTTTTCACAGGTTATAATCTGCCAAAGACCTCACATGATATCTTTAGATTAAAGATTATCAATTCATCAGCTCAACTTCTTTTAGCTGTGTAAGATCTAGTTTAGTAAGTTCCAGTTTATACAACCTGCTTCTTTAATGTCCCTGAACTTTGACCTCTGCAGGCTCTCTGATCCACGTTACTGGCGCGCCCACCTCGGCATGCTGACACAAGGCAGTGCCAAGTACGTGGTGGAGATACAGCGGATCGTGGTGCACGAGTATTATAACTCTCAAATGTTTGACTACGACATCGCGCTGCTGCAGCTGAAGAAGCCTTGGCCACCCTCCCTCAGCCCGCTGGTCCAGCCTGTGTGCCTACCGTCCTCCTCCCACACCGTCACCGACAGCCACCGCTGTGTGGTGACTGGGTGGGGATACCGAACTGAGGATGGTAAGTACAAGCAAAGTCTGAGAATTTTTACATCTGTCCATCGACTTTTTTTTATCTGTTTATTTAAATTTAGGATCCAAAGGGGCTGGAACCTACCCTAGCTGTCACTGGGTTAGAAGCTGTAAGATCCTCAAGATATATTTGGCAATAACAATTCGAAAAACATAAAATATTTAATTTTAACAATCTGGACAGCACCTTTATTTTATTTTAGGACAGTGCTATAAGATGCAAATGATATTTAATGCTGAACTACTTGTTTTTTGACCTCAGAGACATAAACAATAAATGCATAAAATGTAGGCCCATTCTTAGGGGACTCATTTAAATTCACCTCTTTGTGAGGCAGTTACTGGCAAATGCCTTCAACTGTTGATTGCATGCATGTCATGTTTCCCAAGATGATCCAAAATATTTCGGATGCAAACAAATGAAGTTTTAAATAAAGACAAAAAAATTATACATACATGCTTGCAAAATACAAACAGAAATATGTAAAAGAAATCCCATAGAAGTAATACAAGCCTTTGATTTGTGTGTGTGTAAAGCAAAAACAACAACAACAAAAAAAAGCCTGAGCTTAAGGCCTCAGTGAATAGGTGACATTTGAACTGGTTTTTGAAAAAACCAAAGATGAGGCATTGTGGATTTGGGGGTGGTCAGAGTTAGTGCGGGCAGCAACAGGACCACAGTATGGTGTGGGGGATGGAGAGTCGGCTTTTGTGGACTACAAAGGTCTGAATGAGCAGTGGGGAGCAAGGGCTTGTAGAGATTTATAGATGACGACGAGGTTTTTATAGGAGATACCGCCTGACCAGGAGTCAGAGGTGCACAAAGCTGAGGATGATGTGCAGCTGAGTTTTAAACATACTGCAGCTTATCCAGCACATTGTTAGGCAGGACAAGACATCATTGCAGTAGTCCATTTGGGAGGTGATGTGTTGTCTGATATGTGGTCCTCATCTCGCTGCTCTGCAGACACGGTGCTTTCCTTGGTGCTACAGAAAGCAGAGGTGTCTGTAATGAGTCAGACGGAGTGTAAGAAGCGATACGGAATCATCTCACCACGCATGCTGTGTGCTGGAGTCCCCTCAGGAGGGCGGGATGCCTGCAAGGTATGCTCCCATCCAACTGAAAAGACTCTTAAAGAAAAGACTCACGTGCATTTCTGTGCACATTAGTGAGTGAATCATTGCAAGTTACTGTTGTGTACTCTTCGTATCTCAGGGAGATTCGGGTGGCCCTTTGTCATGTCAGGCACCAGGCGGGGGTCGCTGGTTCCTGATCGGGATTGTCAGCTGGGGGTCCGGTTGCGGCAGACCAAACCTACCCGGGGTCTACAGCAGGGTGACAAAGTTCACCTCTTGGATCTACAGCCATATCAGATGACACAATGAAACTCATCCATTCCCAGCACAATATTCCAAATTAAAACATCATTACTAGATACCTTGTGTCCTGTGTTGTGTATTTTTTGCATCCAATAATTAATAGTTTACTGATGTTATAAAGTGCCATTAATCTCACATACTGAATAAAAGCTCACAATAAGTTTTTGTCCCCTAAGGACCATCCAAGGGCACAGCGGCCCAGCCCCAGTTGTAATACCTCACACGTTTCCCTCAAACACTCTTTTGTCCCACGGAGCTGAACTCCCACATACACAGCAAGGAAGTTTGCCCACAATATCTGTCGCACGGATGGTTGTGCGGATCGTACCCTTTCATAGTGCTCTCATTGTGCCCGCACTGCATTCTGGGGCTCCGTGTGACACCTGCCGCCAGGTTCAGGTAAATGGGAGGCAGTGAATGCCCGCTGCGTCCAAGCCCCCTCGGGTCAGGTTTCGGTGTGGGGATTTTTTTCCCCCTTCTTTTTTTTTCCAGAGGAAGCGACAGCGGGGATTTCCTCTCTCTCCATCGTTTCTATGCCCGGGGTATTGTTGCATATCGCCTCTCCGGAGCTAAACGGGACAGTGCTATGTGGACTCTCCCCAAAAGCAAGATTTGTGAAGTGTACTGCGTCTCCGGGCATGGACACTCAGGCTACACTGCTCCACAGGTAAGCCATCAGTGCGTCTCTTTGAAACCTTTCTGCGAGAACTGTTTTTTCAGCATATTGTAACTCTTTAAGTCCGTCTGCTTGTTTCACCCCCTTTTTATTCCCCCAATACAAAAGGGCTGCATACTATTTAGAGTCCATCAGACTCTTACTTATGATTCCTCTTAAGTGTAAAATCTTGCTCTAGATGTCTCTGGGTCCCATTCTTATGAATGTCCACATCCGAGTGGGCCACTTGATTGAGTTGCTGACACTGCACAGCCAGGCCGTGGGAAAGCAGACCACTCCAGCCACTCTTTGTCTGCTTCCCTGGGGGAAACCTGCCAAGTCCTTAAATGTCTTAGTAGATCTTTTAATCTGAAGGATGTTCTCCATTGCTCTCTGAAAATCAGCATCTGGCTCAGTCAAATGTTGTTCTACTGACTTTGTGGTATATAGATTTCATTTTCTTTACCATGAAAATAACAATTAGAAGCAATTTGAGACATAAAAACCTTGTATGATATTTGAGTCGTGTCCTTGTCTTTGAAAGGGAGAAGGGAACTTAAAGCCCTCCCATTCACTGAGCCCCCCCACGAAGCCTGAGGAGCAGGCAGAAGAGAACGTGGAGGGGGTAAAAGCTCCAGTGTGTGATTCCTGGAGGAGATGGATGTTGGGTCTCTTGCCTTTCTTTCCCTTTATTGCAGCCATTGCACTGACACTCCACTACTTAACATGTGAGTACGGAGCTGCAGGAGATTTTTCTGGTCCATTCCTTTGGTGTTAAATGTTATTTATTTTGAGTCGCACGGTGCACCTGTCTCAAATCTCCCCCTCCTGCTCCACAGCTCCGCCTTGCTCAGTGTTCTTTCTCGGAGGCAGCGTGGAGTTCCCAAACCTGAGCTTCTCCTCGGAGCTGGCTGACTCCACCTCCCCTCAGTTCCGCCTGCAGGCTCAGGCTTTGAACCATTATGTAAGTGGAACGGCGATCCTGTCTGTCACTGCCTCCCCTCTGAATGACACTTTAGAGTGCTGCTTGACCTTCCTGCCCCTGGGCTGAAGCTGATCTTGTTGTTGTTGCTCTGACTTTGATATCCTTCTCTACAGCAGGTTACTGCTTCTTTTTATGTCGCACATTCAAAACACAGCCGCTCTCCTCCTCCTCCTCTGTCCTTGCTTTCTTATTTGTAGAGTTTCTCCTTATCTACTTCAGCCTCCCATCTCCGCTCTTTTTTTTCTGCACACCACTTTCTTCTGCCCCTTTCTCTTTCTCTCGCTGGTAGTGTTAAATATAAAGCTGTAACAAGAGCTGGGCACAGTGTGTGTGCAGGTTCCTGAGATCCCCCGGGGGACAGGGCCATTTCAGGGCTGAAGACAAGCCCAGTATTTGTGAGCCTAGCTAGCCTCAGGCAGCAAGAGTGAGAGGAAGAGCAGGCCCTCAATAAAAACGTTGTCTGTGTTGCTTTCACACAATCAGCTACTCTGTGCACCGGACACTACAGAGAGCAGGTGAACCTCTGTTTGATGCTGGGGTTAAGAGCTAGAGACAGGGCAGTAGGGTAATCTGGAATGACAGAAGGGCCGAGGGAGATATGATTAGATTTTTGGAGCAGAAGGTCAGGTATATAGCAGTGGATCTGACAGTAAATTGATAGGTGAAAATTCCCCCAAACACTGCAGTACCATAGTTTAACATCCCTGTAAGCAGCTGCAATGGCAATTTAGCTTCTTTGTTAAGTGGTCACAGTATCTCTGTGGCCATCTGTTCATTAAAGAACAGGTGAACTGAAGGCCAAGAGCCAATACCACCCAGTATCTTACCTCTTCACAGCGGGCAGGAAGGGACACAAAGGAGCTCTGTGCAGCTCAGAGTCAGCACGCACACATGAAGAGTCTCATACACACAAACAAGAACAAAGCATTTGCACAACCAGGTGTATTTTCATGTCACCTCAGTGGAAAAAGCCATCTCGCGTGCAATTTGTGATGTCACCCCCCCACACCTTTATTTTTTTTTTAAAAAACGCAGTTCTCAGACCTCTACAAGTCCTCTCCGTGGAGCCCTTACCACGTACGCTCAGGAATTACTGCCTTCAGGTATGCTACACCTAAACAAAATCTGCTTGTGTGTTGCAACGGTTCTTGCATGCCAAGAACATACATGACAGCAGCACGCTGAGATCCAACCTCTGTGTGTGATAGTGAAGGAGCAGAAGGGCTCACCGTCTTCTACTGGAGTAAATTCTCTGCCCCAGACAATGTTGCGATGGAAATTCAGACCTCCAGCCCAGAGAGGCTTCAGCGGCGGCTTCCCGGGAGCAACAAGATTCAGCGGGAAAGCCGCAACGAGCAGCGCTACTTTATGCAGCAAGATGATGACATACTTCACTTACTGGGTAGATAAAGTACTTTTACTGCAAAATGATTTTCTTTTAAACAGAAATAACATAGTTAGACTTTCATAAATGCCTAATTTTATACCCAAGTTTTAGATTTTTGATGCTTGATTTGTTTCTTTTTAGGTTTGGACCCTGACGACTTTGATCCAGATGAAAGATCTGACAAAATCAAAAATCCAAATAGTATCCAGGGCGGGAAATGGCAGCTTGGCTTCCAAGGTGAGGACAGTACTCTTCTGGCTTGACACTTTAAAACTCCTAAGTCTGTTTTGGTGAGTCAAACATTTCTGAGAATTCCCTGCTTTTCCATGCAAGTACACAGAAAACCAGAAGGGGCAGAGCACAAGTGCAGACATCAGATACGACACTGATTAAGTCAGACAAAGCAGGAAAGGTGGAGTTGCTTTGTAAAGGAGCTTAAATGTGCACTAACTGTATAAATAGTATGCTTTGCTCTTCTGTGTAAGTGTGTGTGTGAGAGAGATCTAATCTGACTCACAACATCAGCATCATTATCATTTCCACTGTCTAGCCATGTCCTTTGACCTCTATGCCAAATATGGTAACAACCGCACCCTGAGCCTTGTGAGTCCCAAGAAGCCATACTACCAGTGGAGACTTCGTGTGCCCTCGGGTCACGTGGTTCGACTGGTTGTCCTCACCCTTCATGGCGCCACACCAGGAAGCTGCACCACTCACAAGCTCTCTGCATATGACTTCTTACTTCCTTTACAGAACAAGATAATCGCCAGGTAAAGAGCATTTTATGAGCTTTGATATTTGTGTACACGCAGTAGTAACTGATAAGTAACATTTATTTTTATTCATTTAACTTGGTTCCGTCTCTAAAAATGATGCGCGTGACTGCTGCAGGTGGTGTGGGCTGCCTATTTCGGGCTCATCTCCGGTTATGAAGCTGACATCCTCTGGGAATGTGATGCTAGTCACGTTCTCTTTCAGCAGACAGAGGGATGGAGCCATCTTTAAAGCTTACTTCCAGGCCATCCCAAAAGCAGGTTTGAGTGCTCTCACACAGACATATAAAAATCTAATTTCATTTTGAATTGCATACATAATTACATATGTGTGTACTTTGTGCACTTATCCGCGTCACCATCTTCCTGGGCAGGTTGTGGAGGGTCAATTTCCTCCTGGAATGGCTCTATTTCCTCACCCTACTACCCTTCCTATTATCCTCCCAATATAGACTGCATATGGACACTGAGGGTGAGCTACATAAAAATGTTTGTGTACATACACAGAGTGTGTGCATGTGTTAGGAAACAATGGAATATTCTTCTGTAGCCTGTTGACATTCCAGCATCGCAATACTTTCCTTAATAATCTCTGGTTACTTCCTCAGGTGCCATTACCAGGATACCTGATCTCCATAACTATCGTGACAATGGACATTCAGGATTCTCTATCATCAGACGGCTGTGAGAAGGACTGGCTGGACATCGGAGGAGTGAAGTAAGCTGATTATAACTCCTGGTGTGTTTTATCTCCATGTTTTGGAGCATGCTTAAGAGTTAAAAGTGAAACTCCTCATTTTACTGTATCTTCAGATTGTGCAATCCAGTGTCAAACAGCGGCAAAAAGCGAGTCTACTCCTCTCCTCTCACCCTCCACTTCCACTCTGATGAATCTCTCACCAACAAGGGCTTCTACTTGCTATACCGAGCCTTCGCCCCAGAGGGCAGTAAGTGAAACTGAATGCTTTCACTATAAGTAGATATTACTCTTTATTTCTTAGAGCTGTAGATCCCTACTAAGGCTGTAATTAAGTTATTTTTGTCCAGATTTACACTGGGCTTTCCTTCACTATCATAAAAATTCCTTAGTTGTAAATATCTGAAGTGGTCCTGATTGCATAATGTAAAATTTAGTTTCATCCCCTGTAAACTCCTGAAAAATTCCCATCTTTTGTTACTGCACAAAGTGTTGTTATTTCATTATTATATGGTTGGTTTGAGTTCTTCCTCTAATTTATGTTTTTGTGGTTTTTTAAAAATTTCTTTGCTGTCTGTCATTAGCGTGCCCTCGCCAGTTTCGCTGTGGAGATAGTCGCTGTATCCCTCTGAAGAAGGTGTGCGATGGAGTAAAGGACTGCTCAGACGGACGGGACGAGGCTAAATGCTGTAAGTATTGTTGCCTAAGTCCTGTGCGCTGTCCTCACACGCTTAATCTTGTATTCTTTGTTTTGGGATCTCTGGTTTGAATTATGTTTATACATCTTGATGCAGATATAGACACAAACCCTGGTTTAGACCCACATTTATTTGTGCTCTGTATCAAACCTTTAGCATCCTGCAAGCCTGGGGAACTGTTGTGTGGGAACAACCAGTGCAAACCTCAAAGCCAGTGTGTCAGTCAGAGCATTTGTGCGGACAGCAGTGAGGAGGGCAGCTGTGGTGAGCAGAAAACACCGCCGCTCTTTTAATACCTTCATATGTCAGTGTTTTGTTCGGTCATGTGTTTCATGCTGCCTTCTGTTTGCTTTTCAGGAGGTAAATGTTACCACGTCTGTCCCAACAAGGTGTGTTTGTCTAAGTCGTCTGTGTGTGATGGTGTCATTGACTGCAAAGACCGCAGCGATGAGCTCAACTGCACCAGAGCATGTGAGTGCTTATGATGTCACAGTTATGGTTTAGTGCAACAGTGTGCTCTTAAAAAATAATATTACAACCTTCGTTCTGTTTAGATGTTAAAGGCTGCTCCTCATCCTCCTACAAATGTGCCAATGGGAAGTGTGTCAGTAAGGTCAACCCGGAGTGTGACGGCGTTAAAGACTGCTACGATGGCTCTGATGAGCTGCGCTGTGGTACAGGAATTGCTCAAGTACCACACCTCATACCGCTGTACTTGCTCATTAAAATACAGGCTCTAACATCTTCATATGTGTTCCTTATCTATTCCTCAGGCTGTGGAACCAGGCCCAAAAAACGCACCAAGATAGTGGGAGGGAGTGACGCCGTAGCTGGGTCATGGCCATGGCAGGTCAGCCTCCAGATGGATCGCTACGGGCATGTCTGTGGAGCCACGCTGGTCTCAAACCGCTGGCTTATCTCTGCTGCTCATTGTTTCCAGGACTCTGATGCCATTAAGTAAGAAAACTACAGAGAACCTTATGTTGATGATTCATATATAAGCACTTTATTTAAGCGCAGTGTATCCTAGATACTCAGATGCACATGCGTGGCGTGCATACATGGGAATGCGTGTGATGACCACAGGAAACCAAGGAGCAGCCACCAGACCGATCCGCCGCATCCTCCTCCACCCACAGTATGACCAGTTCACGTCTGATTATGACATCGCCCTCCTCGAGCTCAGCGCACCTGTTTTTTTCAGTGACTTGGTGCAGCCTGTGTGCGTCCCCGCCTCCTCTCACACTTTCACCACAGGGACCAGCTGCTATGTCACAGGTTGGGGAGTTCTTATGGAGGATGGTAAGCACTCATAATTGAATAGAAATATGCAAATTTTACTTAATTTTACTGGAAACTTTGACTGTTTCTGTGGATTGTAGGTGAATTAGCCTCTCGCCTACAAGAGGCCTCGGTGAAGATCATAAATAGAAGCACCTGCAACAAGTTGTATGATGACGCCGTCACTCCCAGGATGCTTTGTGCTGGGAATCTGCAGGGAGGTGTGGATGCATGTCAAGTGAGTGTGTATGGATTTTATGGAAAACATTGCACTGGTTTCTTAAGAAATTTCAAAACTTTCTTTTTAGTCTTAACCAGAAATGGTTTAAGATACTTTCTTGGAGTATTTCCAAGAAATCTTATCTAAACCATACAAGAGAAATCTACTTCCTCAGTGTCTTTTTGCTAATCACATGCTGCTTCCTATGATTTCTTGTGTAAAGACTCCTCTATTTAGCCAACTAACCACTTCTGGCGTGAAAACAAATAAAATTGTGCTCACGAGATATAAAATAGTAGAGAATTGGTTTCACATGCCTTATTTAACAGCGTTATTCCTCATGTTATCATCAGATAATCAGTGCAGATAATCATTTAGTCTCTGCAGAAAGTGCTACACAGCTGTCAGGGTTTTACAGGAACTTTCATGTTTGTGGTGAGTGTCACAATTTCACCTCCACAATTTTAGAAGTCTAAGCATTTTTTGTACACACACATTATTATAGTGATTTACGAACAATGCCAGTAATTTCAGCAAACGCTAACATGAGCTGAAGTTTAGTTTGTTGATTCAGGCTGATCATATATATGGAGATTCTAAATATCACATTACAGTTTAGAATTAGAATTAGAATTAGAATTCAACTTTATTGTCATTGCACATGCACAGGTACAGGGCAACGAAATGCAGTTTGCATCCATCCAGAAGTGCTTAGTGATATAGATATATTACAATATATATTAGCAATAATATAGATATGCAAGTATATTACAGAAATGGGTCTATTATGTTATAATGTACATGGTATGAAGTATGTTGTGAATATTCTATAACTATAAGTATGTACAGGCTGTAGTGAGTACAAGCTATGTACAGGATATGGACAGGATATAAATATGAAAAACTATACAGAATATGAAATAAATAACTTTACAGGAATCTGAGATATACAGCTATACAGAACTATGCAAGTTGTAAACAGTTGTAGGGTTAAAAATTATCGTATGTACAGAATGATTGTTTACACAGAGCTATACAGTAGTGCAGTTAAGGTAAGTGAGGGTGTGGATAATTTCTACAGAGGCTATATAAAGTGCTAGTGGTTGTGAGTGGTGGTTCACTCCATGTGTCCAAATATCATGTCACATTTGACCTCTGACCTCACTTTTACATTTCACATCTGCCTTTCTTTCAAGTTGACCCTAAAATGTGTGACATCTTTAAAGAAAGTGTTGGCAAGAGAAGAAGACTGAGCTCCCTAGTTAGCTAAAAATATACTGAAGTTTAATATAAGAAATAATAAAATAAAACTTAAGTTTTTCATGTCCTTTTATTTAGAAATCAATGCCTATTATCCATTACTTACTCCTCCATAACGTTTGTGGAATCTTTCATCCTACCCTTACCTGACTTTCTCTTCATTACAAACTTCTTTTTTATCTGAAAATCATCAAAGATCAAATAAAAAAATACATACAGCAGATCTGAGCTTCACTATGGTGCTTTTTAAACTGGGCTGTTTAAAGGGTCGTTTCACCTAGAATTCCTAATAATGACTGTCTTCTCAAAAAGCTTTTCAAGCTCAGTCTGTCTGAAACCGGAAGTAACTTATATTAGGGAGCTTGTGCTATAACTCATAAAACAGCTGCATCAAAGAAACAAACATCAATCCCTGACGAAGGCATTTAGGAAATACCCGATGTTTGTGAGTATTTAGTTAGCCACTTACCTGGTAAAGTAAATCTAAGAGTGTCAAAGTTGCTGCTAATGTTTGCGACAGCTAGTTACCATCCTCCGTGTTGTCTAATCCTCGGGTGTTGAAGCTTAAAAGTTATGAGCAGATATAAAACGCCCTGGAGGAATTTTTGACTGCTTCCTCTTTATGATCTTTATGTTTGTGTCTACATGCTTATCGGTGTGTGTGTCCTCAGGGTGACTCTGGGGGTCCATTAGTGTGTCTGGAGCGAGGCAGGCGGTGGTTCCTGGCGGGAATCGTGAGCTGGGGCGAGGGCTGTGCCAGGCAGAACCGCCCCGGCGTCTACACACAGGTGGTCAAATTCACCGACTGGATTCGTCAGCAGACCAAGGGACAGGTCTGACCAATCAAACGTCTTACTCACGTGAACTACACGACAGAGCTAATGCACAGGAAGGAGGTTTCAGACCTGAAGTCTGTCTTCAGATTGTCGTCATGACGGATGGCAACACAATGAGTCAGTTTTTGGCAGTGTGTCCAAGGCATTGGGCCAGTGGGGGTATCATCCCTGTTCCAAACCTTGCTGCTTCCTCATATTCCTCAAACAACTGCAGCAATGTTGCATGGACAAAAAAGAAAAAAATCTGATCTTAAGCTGATTATCGATTCGTTTGTTTTGGCTTGCTGCATTTAAACGTTAACACTGGAATCCAAGACAAACAATGTCACTCAAGAAACTAGTCCAGCTACATAAATTGCTCGCTCTAGAGCCGTGGAAGGCTCTGCAGCCTGCAACTTGCTTTATGAATTACACTCCCAAGTTCCCATCAAGAGGCTGTTTTTTCTTTTCAGTTTTTTTACATTTGGTGAAGTTCCCTGTAAAAGTCTTCACATTTGGCACCAAACACCAGCCTGTCGCAATCACACAGGCTGGTACGCATCAGGTTTCAGAGCAGATCTGAGGTGGGCTACATTATCCTGTGCGTGTAAATGTTGCCAATTACTTCATGTTTTTCCATTCACAGCTACATTGTTCACTGCAGAAACAAACCGTGTCCTGTGCTGCATGCAGTCTTATTGTGAAAAGAGTTCTTTCTCGAACAATACATGTAACCCTGTATTTTTGCATTACCCCGTGTACTGTATGCTACTGGATGTGTTCACAGCTCACTCTGAGTTTAAGAGTTGTTCTTGTACTGTATATGTACGTCTGTGCATTTGTATATCCCACAGTAATAGCTTTATGTGCGGTATATGCTGTAACTGTAGATAAGAGAACAGTCCATCCATAGTAGGTGCTTTTCAGTTTTACTGTGATTTAATTTATCTTAACGGTGCCACTTTTATACTTTATGTCCTATTAAAAAGCCTCCACATTAAACCTGAGGACCCAGTAAGATTACCATTACCAGACCTAAGTGAGCCTTTCTATGCAGACACTTAAGAGTTTGGTCCATTTCTCCATCCTCATTCAGCTCACCCCACCACCCAGTGGACAAGCTGTGCCATTACAATGTGCCATGTACAATATCCCCTGAAGAAATGAAGAATAAAAAAACTGCAATTTACATCATTGTTAAATAATCCATTTCCCTTTATATTAAAGACACATTATCAATGCAGAACCATCTTTTTTCTTTGTTTTTGTATCTCTTATTACATAATTTATTTGCTTTGCTGTTAAGATAAATCAATGAAATTTGCTGTTTCAGTCCACTGAATTTAATTTTGAACATTCCTGTTGCTTCAGAAATAATTAATTTCTTTTGTTTTTGTTTTTTGGGGGGGTTTGTTGTGGTTTTGTTTGTTTGTTTTTTACTGAAATGCACCTGTACTACAGTTTGAAGGAAACGTGAGTGACTTTCCTTTAGTGGTGAGACCAGATTTTCTCCAGTAGTGGAATGTTTGGCACCTTCCGCAGAGCACTTTTTTTTTAAAAATGTCGATCAGTTCACTATTCGTTTACCAATGCCTACGTGCTGATCATCCCGTTTACCAGCCCTGGGTACTGACAAGATATACGCAAGCGGCTGATCAGTGCGCATCATTTCCAGTGAAGCGTAAACGTCCCGATGGAAAATAGCGCATGTAGACTCTTGGCTTAGGAACAAAAAGTGAATGTCCAATCCGAAGTGTGAAAAATCCGAGGAAACAGAGTTTTGATTTTTCTTATATTAGAAAAATATAACATTTAGCAGGTTTTACTACATGGGACAGCTGAAATGGGACCGCTGTTGCGCGCGCTGGGTGTGTCACTGGACGTAACGGAAGCCGTCTATCCGGTGGGTGCACTGTGGGAACAGTATAAAGCCGCACCACAATCCGAAACGATGGGAAAAAGTTGCACTGGAGCTCAAGCGCGGTGTCCTGTTGCGTGATCTCCCGCAGATAAACTCAGGAAACTGTCTCCCATTCGGTGATCCTCAGCTCAGAGCGCAGCAGTCAACCGCGCTGTGCTGCGTTTGTAGTCCGGTGGAGAGAAAAGAAACAGAAGGAGGGGGGGGGGAAAGGAGCCACAGCAGGAATACAACTTCTTTCATGCGTTATTTTATTTGAAAGCGCAAAGCTGCTTCGGAGTCTCCAGACATGATGAATTTTATTCTCTTCTCCCTGCTGTTTGGATTTTATGGTGTTCTAGCAAAAGGTAAGTAACTGGGTCAGTTTTGCAGATGTTATGGGCGCACAGAGTGCGTGCAGCAAGGATAACTGCTAATTTACACAGACCTGCGCTAATTTACAGTCAAGGAAACTTGTTTGTAATAGTTAGTTAATTAGAGCCAAAATCCTTCATGATCGTTATTTCTTGTAAACCTGACAAACCTAACAAAAATAAGTATTTCAACTAATCAAGGTAGAAAACAACAGACTGACAGCCAATCCCCCTTAATTATTGCGCTGCCGCTCCTCATTTATCGGCTTGTTGTGTCGCCGCTGTGGCTGCGTGTCTGAAGCTGTAAACCTCCTTTTGCGCTGAGGATGATAAGAGCCATATCCCACCCGGACACTTGTTTGGATAACCGGGACCCCTGTGGCCCGGCTCCTTGCCCGCATGGCCTCTGCTGAATGGATGCGCGCAGGCGTTGTTTCCTGAAGCTAGTGAGCTTGTCAATAATATAAATGGATGAGGGGTCAAAAACTCCTCTGAGCAGGAACCGATGTGAATTTGTGCTCATTGCTCAAACAGTCGCTAGGTTGCATTTATGGAGTCCAGTGGAAGCAGTTCAAGGAATAAAAAATGATGCGTCTACAGGTGCAAAATAGAATAGAGTAGAATCACCCTTTATTGTCACTGTACATGTTCAGCGAAACTGGCATATCAAATCGTGCGTTACATTAAGAGCTTGATCCGGGACATGGCATTTTTAAAAAGTTTGAATTTAATTGTTTTATTTTGCATACGGTGAATTTTAAAAGATGTCCTACACGTGTAACGACTTATTACATCACTTCTAGTTATCCTCGACTGTTCATGTGCTATTACTATTTAAAATTTTGTTTTTTCATTTTCCAAATGCATCATGGCGTTTGTTTTAAATCTGTCACTGAAACAAAAACTCCACCAATTATTTCCTGCTGGATGACAAGTAAAACACGCACATACATGCATACCTGTACTTAATCCATATGTACATATATAGCAGTGTAATACAGAGAAAGGAAGAAGTATAAAAAAGGTTCTGCATCAATATTTATTCAACTGAATGTGACAAATAACGTGACTCAGTCCAGAATAACTGCAGAAAATACATAATAATAATGATTAATACATAATATAAAATATAATGCATAATCAGCCGTTCTGAAAAACACCTTCTTACACAGAACAAACTAAATTCTTCATTTATTCACACCCCGCTGTCACTGTTACCTTTAATACATTATATTAATCAGAATTATTGGAGAGACTATTCTAGACTGGACCTCTCTATATCTGTTAGTATTTTAAAACTGATAATAAAATCATGTGATCACATTTCACTACAGGTAAACAAATTCTTCATGTCGGCTGATTGTCTAGAAATCTTCATGCTCCTGAGATTTATTGCAGTGATGTAAATTTCAGCTCAAAGAGTTTACTATGTCCTCATTAATTTGTCTGAATTTCACCTTAGTATGCATCTGCATGTTTCTGTTCATGGCACTTTAAATATCTCATTGCCCTCAGGTGTTTGTTTTAGATTCCCTGGTACGTCAGTGTAATGAGCCTTTGTGGAAACTAACCACAGTACTTCCTGGTAATGGCAGTGATGTTGTAGTTAGGATTGCGAAATGCTTTCCTTTACCTGATAACACAGAAAGTGTGCTAATTAGACACTTGTTTAAACAGCTTGTTGAAAAGCTGGAGGAGATCCTTGACTTCCCCCTCCATCTTCCATTCTCCTGCCTGTGTGTGTGTATTTGCTGCCTCCTGTGAAACCCAAGGAAGTAGCATAGGAAGTGTTAGCAGTATGAGTAATACTAGATACTGTGCTCAATGGGGGATCCACTGGGAACAATGATGCTGACAATGAAAGGCAATAATGGATTTAAGTGATAAATTCGCTAACTGCCCTAGCAGCAGTTTAACTGCTCACAGATCAGTGGAGGTGGTTCTTTATGAGCTGCTGTGCGAGGAGGAGTCCGAGTGAAGGACGGGCTTCCCTGAATGATGTTTCCTCTGTTGTTTTGAGGAAGGAAGGGTGGACAGTCTTTATCTCTCATTAATAAACCTCAGCGATGAAGTGGAGAAATGCCTTTATTTGATAAACAAGAGGGACACTGCTTACGCATTTCCACAAAACTTCTTAAGTGGGTTTAGCGAGGAGATGTGAGCAGGGTCAGAGATGCTGATGGAGGACGTGCTGTGGAGGTGGGAATCACCCAGACTGGTTGGCATACCTTACAGGAAGTGTGTTATCTTTCAGGATTTCCCTAAAAGTGATTGAAAAGGGTTTTTCACTGTGTACGTCCCAACCACATGGACACTTGTCTCTACACCTGAATTAAGCAGTTAACCAGAGTCAACAAACTCAGTCCAGATGTACCCTTTTCACTTTGACATTTATAAGTTCTCCTTGACCTCTAACCTCTCTGGAGAGATCCATAGGTTAATAGATACTTGCTATGAGACAAACCACACTACAGGTCATTGGGTGTTGAACTGTTTCTATAAATTTACTCATCTTTTCGGCGCTCTGACCTCTGCAGATAAAGATCAGAAGGGGAGGTTCAGCGTCCCTCTCCTGGATGTCAAAACTCGGCAGCAGGTTCTGGATGCTAACCAGATGCTAACGCTCAACTGCAGGTGAGTTTCAGGTAGAGGCGGAAACATTGTGATTTAAAATCTGTAATTCATTTTTTTAGTAAAGATGGTGGTAGAAGTGTAACTTCCTGGAGGAAAAAAGCCTTTTAAAATGTGTTCTATGAATGCAGTGTTTATGTGCTGATAGCCACTGAAATTAAAGTCAAGT